AAAATAAGAGGAGCATGAGGAGCAGGATGAGAAAGGGTAGTAACTTGTAAAAGTTCTTCTTTACATGACTCGAAAGCTAATTCCGCTTCTTTAGTCCAAGAAATAATTCTTCTATCCCTCTTGCGACTGTCCTTTAAATATTCTGTTAACAGAGCTTGATGATTTGCAGCATCCTTGAGACAGCGACGATAATAATTGATAATTCCTAAGAATCTGCGTAATTCATGAAGTGTCTTAGGTTTAGGATAATCAATAATTGATTTCACTTTTTCGGATGTAGGTTTAACTCCTTGGTTAGAAACTAAGTAACCAAGAAAAGAAATCTCGCTTTGACCGAAAAGACATTTAGCGACATTGATTGTCATTCCAGCTTGTTGAAGACGATCAAAAATAATGCGTAAGTGAGCAATATGTTCTTTCTCATCTTTAGAAGCAATAAGAATGTCATCAAGATAACAAAAGGCAAAACTCAAATCATTAAGTAAAGAGTTCATGAGCCGTTGAAAAGTTTGGGCTGCGTTTCGTAAACCGAAAGGCATTACGACAAATTCAAAAAGCCCAAATGGAGTAGTGACAGCTGTTTTGTGAATATCTTCTTTAGCGACGGGTACTTGATAGTACGCTTTAACTAAGTCGATTTTAGAAAAGATATTCTTACCAAAAAGTGAAGAAGAAAAATCTTGAATATGAGGTAAGGGATAACGATCCGGGATAGTCACTGAATTGAGTGCACGATAATCACCACACAGTCTCCAAGAATTTTGTTCCTTTTTAGGTACCATATGTAGAGGGGCTGCCCAGGAGCTGCTTGAAGGCCTGCAAATTCCTTGCTCCATCATAGACTTGAATTCTTCCTTGGCACATTTAAGTTTCTCAGGAGTAAGTCTTCTGGGAGTCGAAAATTTAGGAGAACCTTCCGTAACGATATGATGTTCAACACCATGTGTTTTTACCGAGGAAATTGGAGAAAAACGGGTGAGTCCTGGAAATTCGGTTAAAAATTTGTGGTACACAGAATCAGGAGATGTGGTAAAAATTGACAAATGCGCAATTTCTTGAATTTTTCCAGTATTCATAAGACCGGTAACATTATCAATCAATTTCTTGTTTTTAATGTCAATTAGGAGATTAAAATGACAAAGGAAATCGGCGCCTAAAATAGGACGTTGAATATCCGCGACACAAAATTTCCATTTGAATTCTCTCCTTAAACCGAGGTTCAAAATTAAAGTTTTAGAACCGTAAGTATTAATTTGAGTACCATTTGCGGCAAAAAGTTTTAAATTAGTATGCCACGGCTTCAATAAAACCTTTTTAGGTAACAACGATATATCAGCGCCCGTATCGACAAGAAAATTCAAATTTGAATGTCTGTCGAAAATAATGAGGCGATTGTTAGAAACACCGTCGTAAGCAGCCTCAGTCTTAAGCGGCGTTTTTAGTTTTCCTGTGAAGCCAAGAATGTTTTGGACATAGAACAAGGTAAAGTACATCGTTTAGCCTTATCACCAAACTTCTTATGGTAAAAACAAATTGATGTATCTTTAATATTTATATCTTTATTTGATTTGTCTTTGTTACGCGATAACGATCTAAATCTTCTATTCTCTCTAGACCGGCTTTTGGAACGATCTCGACGACGAGAAACTTCAAGAGCTTCGATTCTTCGTAGCAAATCCGCGAAATCCGAAGATTTATTATTTGCATTATTGGAAACTTCCGCGACTTGCAAACCGCCGTCCCGATCAGCAATTTTATCGGCTAATTCCGCAAGTTTAACAAGAGGAACATCCTCTACTACGGCTAAAGTCGTTTGAATTCTATGTGGTAAGCGTTGAAGCCAAATCATTTGCAAAACACTATCTGCTAAAGATCCTCCAGACAAATGACGAATTTCTCGAAGTAATTCCGAAGGCTTTTTATCATTAAGTTCAATTCCAGCTAATATTTGTCTCAAACGTTTTTCCTCTGAATCCGTAAAGCGATTTATTAATATTTTCTTTAAATAATTATATTTATCTGTTTCAGGTGGATTTTCAATGACTTCAGATATGTTTACTAAGGCTTGTTCATCAAGATGACGAATGACAGAACTATATTTAATATCATCTGATCGAATTCGATAAACCGTAAACTCACTTTCAATAGAAGCAAACCAGAGTTTAGGTTGTTTATGCCAGAAAGTCGGTAGTTTTAATAAACGAAACTCATTTGAGTGAATTTGTAACATAGGATCACTCACCTGATGTCCAGTTTGAGAAGGTAAAATATTAATATTATCTGATCCAACCTGATTTGATCCGCTCGCCAAATCCATATCAATCTGTGTATCCGAACAGGGTCTAACTGGTGATCTATCGATTGGCATTTTCCTCTTGTTCCAGGAATCCGATAAAATGATTTGAGAATTTCCGTGAAGGACTAATCCGCCTCTGATGTTTCAAAGATCCGGAGAATGAATCTCTTAAAATCAGAATATCCAGCAATTCTTCCAAGCGATGATAATATTTCGCAGACTTCAAATACGACGATCACTTGGCACTTATTCCGCATCAGCTTTTAAAATGCGTCGGCTTTAATATCACGTCGGCTTTAATATCACGTCGGGGGGGTCACCAAAAATGTAGCGACTTATAAATAAATTCACCAGATCTTTGAAAAAGTAATGTTTATTCATTGAAAGTATAAAGCGAAAGAACAAAAAGAATTAATATGTAACAAATAAATGAATGAATGTGTTGTTATGGAAATATTGATTTTTCTTAAAAACATTATGTATATTAATGAATTGAAGTTATTACAAATGTATAAAGATGTAAAAAGTGTAAAAGTGCAGTGAAAAGTGTAAGGTGTAATAAAAGTGTAGAGTGTAAATGAAAGGTGTGGATGATGAATGCTACATATCTAATATATTAAAATATAAAAAGTTTTAAAATATAAATATAAAATGTACTAGAAGTTTAATTTTTATTTTATATTATAATATTGTAATATTTAAAAGACTGATTATTTTAGTTATTTTATTTTATTATTTTATTGTACTTATTATTTTATTTTAATAGGTATTGTAAAATGTTGGTTTTACAAATATATAAAAATGTGATTTTTTAAATTAAACAATTTGTTTTATAAATACATAAAACAAATCGCTTATTTTCGAAAATCACAATTTTATATATTTATAAAAATAACATTTTACTATAAATATCAAAATATAATAATATTAAGTGCAATAAAATAAAAAGAAAAATAACTAAAATATAATAATGTGCCCAGATAGCCACAGTAATTATTATGACATCAAAATGCATCATTTTGATGGCAAATGATGCATTTTGACATCAAAATGATGTCATAATAATTACTGTGGCTATCTGGGTGTGTGTGCGTGTGTGTCAATTGTTAGCTACTCATACAGCATTTCCAGGAGACGCCATGTGGAGGCCAATTGACACAATTCGGAATTCTTTAAAATATAAACATATTTGCTAATATATAAAATATATAAAAAAGTAAAAAAATATGTTTAAATTTTAAAAAATTCCAATCTGTCTCCCTTATTCGATCCGCCATAAGGCCGCGAATTTTTACATATTTTTTACTCGTTCCGCATTAAATGCCGCGAGTAAATGTAAGAGAAGTGAGATCGTACCGCTCGAAGAACCGCGATCGTTTTACTCGTTCCGCATTAAATGCCGCGAGTAAATGTAAGAGAAGTGAGATCGTACCGCTCGAAGAACCGCGATCGTTTTACTCGTTCCGCATTAAATGCCGCGAGTAAATGTAAGAGAAGTGAGATCGTACCGCTCGAAGAGCCGCGATCGTTTTACTCGTTCCGCATTAAATGCCGCGAGTAAATGTAAGAGAAGTGAGATCGTACCGCTCGAAGAGCCGCGATCGTTTCACTCGTTCCGCATTAAATGCCGCGAGTAAATGTAAAATAAGTCAGATCGTACCGCTCAAAGAGCCGCGATCGTTTTATACATGTAATATGGCAATTTTATATGTTTTATGTTTTTTAGTTTTTGACATTTTGTCTTTATTTCTTTTGATCTTTTAGATGCTATATTTATTTTTTCTCTTCTTCCATTGTTATTTTTTTTTGTAATTGCATATATCTTGACTCTTAACATAAAGTCTAACATTTCAATTCTATGTGGATAACATTCGTTGTTCTCGTTAAACCAATCTTCATTAGCATGTTGGACGTATTTTACACAAATCTCAAGGAGCTTTTTCTTCACATCTTTTAAGTGCCAATACGTCTTGTAATATGAATTTATTGATAGCCATTGTATTTCAGGATCATTTTCATCTTGATGTTCATATTTGCGTAGCTGGATATAGATTTCATTATCGTTTGATTTTTTCATCGGTGTTTTCAAATTTTTTTCACGACAGCTGTCGCACTTTGTATTCTTGTAACCGTAGCGAGCAATATAACCTGCAAAATATGAAATTGCATTTACTTCATATGCCTCTGTTGAGGTGTTGAGGCCTTCGAGAATCGAGAATAATATTTACGAAGTAAGTCGAGAAAATATTTACGAAGTAAGTCGAGCAGATCGACGTATCACGCAGTTGACCCATGAATTACATGAGTTCATCACGAGCTTCGTTCCTTCCTTCCTAATTTGCCAAGCAGAGCCCGCTTGGATTTTCGATCAGAATTCGCCGAGCTCCGAAATATTACGAACATATATGGTAATTTTCGCCGTCTCTTGGTCCTTACAATTTATCGCTCGCCTCGTTTTTGTGACCACTTATTTACTCTCGTTAATAAAGTGAGTGCTAAATACGATCTCGAGTACTTTTTTTCGTGCTGTGAGCTTTCTGATAAGGCTGCTCCAGCCTCCGCTCGAGTGAGAGCGCAATTCACGCAGAATCGCGGAACTCGAGTCTCAACAAATTTGGTCCTTCGAACCGGATCACAGCCGAAGAGAACACCTTGCACCGGAGAACCAGGCGAAAGGAACGGTCGTCAGTAAAACGCCCGGACCATGACTTCCACGGACGTTGACGATTTCGAGGAGCTTATCGCTAAGCAGACTCAGCTCATGAATTCCGTCAATCAAGCTCTAATCAATTTTAAGAAGATGGGTCAAAGTAACATGACTCATGCCGTCACCGTAAGTCGCCTCGCGCGACTCAAGGAGCAATTCGACAAGATCCGGGTACTGGACGCCAAGCTGCAAGCAACCGCCAGCGGCAAAACAAAGGCCACAGATCCCTACTTCATAGAAGCTCAGTTCGTCGCATGTGAGGACAACTACGACGAGTGTAGCGACTACATGGCGGAGGTAGCAGCAAGGACGAACCCTAGACTAGCCGCTGGACCTGCCCCCGAATCGGCCGCTGAACCGGCCGCTGCATACGCAAGTATCGACACCTCTGTGGGAGCTCGTCCGATCTCGCGATTTCCGCGCATCGAATTGCCGGCCTTCGACGGGTCCATCCATCGGTGGGAGACCTTTCGTGACCGTTTCAAGTCAATGATCATCGACGACCCTTGCTTATCTAACGTCGAACGCATGCATTATTTATGTTCGGTACTCACCGGTGACGCGAGCAACGCTCTGAATCATTTAGCCGTCACCGACGACAATTTTGCGGTAGCGTGGAACATTATCACATCTCGCTTCGAAAACAAACGCCGATTGATCACCGCGCACTTACAAACTCTCTGTCAGCTTCTGCAAGTCGCGACCAAAACCACACGAGAAATACAGACCCTACACGATCAAACCAATATGTCAATACAAGCATTAAAAAATCTTGGTTATCCTGTCCTTGTGTTTTTGGTTTCGCAAAAATTAGACAAAGCGTCCCGAAAGACATGGAAACTTAAACTCAGTGATATCGTAGAGTTTCCGTCGTATTCCAAACTTGATAAATTCCTCGAAAATCACATACGCGCACTCGAGGCTATCCTTCCGATGAAAACAAACAACGCGGCCAAGTCAACGACGGTAAAAACGGAAGCCCGAAGCGTCGCCGCGCACGCAACCACCACCACGAAATTTGAATGCTCAGTGTGTAAAAAATCGCATCCTCTATTCCAATGCATGCAATTCTTATCATGGTCCCCTGCGCGTCAGCACGAACTCATCAAATCGCAAAAACGATGCTTTAATTGCCTCGCCGCCAATCACTCAATTAAAGATTGTAAAAACGAACATCGGTGCCGAGAGTGTCACAGCAAACATCATACGCTGCTTCACCTCTCGGACACTTCAAGGTCATCACCTGAGGATTCAACAACAACAAGCAATTCGGCCAAAACCAAAGCGAGCGGAGACATTGTATCGCTCACGATTTCGCGCTCTACGCAATCCGCACCAGTGGTGCTTCTCGCCACTGCACGAGTCCGCGTGTTCTCAACCGACGGAACAGTCGTTCCCGCTCGGGCTCTCGTAGATCAAGGCTCCGCTGCGACTCTTATATCGGAAAGATTAGCGCAATTGTTAAAGGTACGACGAATTAAGCATCCAATGCGCGTAACAAGCATTGATCAATTATCCTCAACGGCGCGTTATATCGCGGAAATTAAAATTAGTCCCGAAGCAAGCGATAATCCGACGTTTTCCGCCAGCGCTATTATTCTGAAATCATTGACGACCTACGTTCCACCTTGAGTTCCCTCTCTCGCGCATTGCCAGCATCTTAACGAGATCTCTCTCGCTGACCGAGATCCGAACAACTCCGACCCGATTGACATAATAATCGGTGCCGATTTACATAGCTTAATTATTCCCGAAGGTTTACGAAAAGGACGGAGCTCCGAACCGATCCCGCAGAATACAGCATTAAGCTGGATTCTATCCGGGCCTGCTTCCGAGCCACTTCCGCAACCACCCGTGCACACGCATCACAGTGCGATCTCTAACAACCTTGACCTCACTCTTCGTCAGTTTTGGGAGATGGAGGATCTCCCGCAAAGTACTTTTCCGAGCCAGGAAAAAAAACAGTGCAAAGAACATTTTCTCGCTACGCACTCTCGCCTACCCGACGGGCGATATCGTGTCCGCCTTCCTTTCCGTAACGGTCCGCCGACGGACCTCGGCGATTCCAAAGTCGCCGCTCTCGCTAATCTCGCGCGAGTGGAGAGTCGCCTCCATCGCGACCCTCCAAAGGCAAAGGCCTACGCCGCGTTTCTCCAAAAATATAGCGATCTTGGTCACATGCTAAAAGTATCCGAAACGAAGCCTTCCGAACAGTCGTCCGCGTATTACATCCCGCATCACGCCGTTACTCGCGATAGTAGTACGACGACACGACTACGCATCGTATTTAACGCTTCCAGCCGTACCAGCACGGGCAAATTCTTAAACGATTACTTATTAACCGGAGCCAAATTACAGAACGATTTTTGTACCGTCATCCTACAATGGCGTCAATATCGCTACGTTCTGTCCGCCGATATAGCAAATATGTATCGCCAAATCCTGGTGGATTCGCGCGATACTACCTACCTGCGAATTCTGTGGCGAAACGCATCAACCGCTCACGTCGAGGAATATCGACTCCTCACCGTAACTTACGGCACCGCGTCCGCCCCTTTCTTAGCGCTCCGTGTTCTTCAACAACTGACAACGGATGACGGTTCTGAGTTCCCATTAGCGATCTCGGTGATGCAGCGTCACATCTACGTCGACGACTGCTCGTTCGGCGCGGATGATCTCGACATCGCGCGACAGACTCGCGACCAACTCATCGTCCTCCTTGCGCGCGGCGGTTTTCGCCTCCGCAAATGGGCAAGTAATTGCCCTTTTCTCATTAGCGATATCGATCCCACCGACCACGGCCATGCGGGAGACAAGGATATCCATGAAGATCATTCGTTAAACATTCTGGGCGTCTCCTGGCATCCGCAGCAAGACGTTTTTCACTTCAAAATCAAAATGCCGGCGGAGTCCTCCGTTCACACTAAACGCGCAATCCTTGCTACGATTTCGCGATTTTTTGATCCCTTGGGATGTCGCTCCTGTAATTGTCACCGCGAAAATTCTAATTCAACGATTGTGGTCTCTCAAATATGGATGGGATGAAAAAGTCCCACCCGACGTGCGTAACGAATGAATCGCGTTTCAATCGCAGCTCCCACTACTCGAACGGATCACAATTCCGCGCTGGACGCAATTCTCACCCGACGCATCCAAGGTCGAGTTACATGGATTCGCGGACGCGTCCACGAAAGCCTACGCCGCCGTAGCATATTTGCGAGTCGTCTCTTCTAACGATAAGATTGAGGTGTCTCTGTTGGCAGCGAAATCCAAGGTCGCACCAATTAAAACTATTGGTGTGCCGCGCCTAAAACTTTGTGCGGCGTTGCTTTTGGCGCGACTCATTCATTTCATTCGTTCCGCGTTACAATTCCCTAATTTCGAGTGTATTTGTTGGACAGATTCTACGATTACATTAGCGTGGTTAAGACAATCGCTAGCGCGTTGGAAAACATTCGTTGCCAACAGAGTCGCTCAAGTGCAACAGCTGCTGTCGAATGAAACTTGGAGACACGTTCCGACGAAAGACAACCCAGCCGATCAAGCATCGCGCGGACTCTTTCCCTCCATGATCCGCGACAACCTCCAGTGGTGGCAAGGCCCGTCGTAGCTGAACTGCGCCCCGGAAAATTGGCCCTCGACCGACTTAGTCGAAGATCCGGACACGTCCTTCGAGGAGCGCCCCTTCATCGCGGTAAATACGGCCTGTCCCGCGGACGCATGGAATTTAGCATCCCGGTTTTCGTCGTGGTCCAAACTTTTAAGAGTCACGGCGTATATCCTGCGCTATGTTAATCGGTTGCTGAAAGGAAAACTCAAGATCAATCAAAATCCAGACTCTTACTTTCCAATTTCCCTTCTGCTCTCCACAACCGAAATTCAAACCGCTAAGCGCTATTGGTACTCTACGATCTAAAAAGAGTTGTTTTCCGAAGAATTATCTATTCTATGCAAAGGAAAATCTCTTCCAAAGTCGAGTCCGCTTGCTTCCTTAACTCCCTATTTGGATGAGCACGGACTCATGCGAGTGCGCGGACATTTGCGGAATTCGACGTTGTCAAACGAGATGCGACATCCAATTATTCTAAAGTCGCATATAATTTTAGATTTAATTATACGAGCCACTCATGTCCAGGCGTGTCACGCCGGACCAAAGCTGACTCTCGCGTTACTCCGTCAACAGGTTTGAATCCTTTGCGCACGATCGGTCGTGCGCTCCGTTCTACATCAATGCCTGGCTTGCGCGCGTGAGAGAGCTCTAGTTTCGGAACAATTCATGGGTGACCTACCGGCTTGCCGAGTCACTCCGCCGCGAGCTTTCGTGCATACCGGCGTAGATTACGCTGGTCCACTCGTGGTACGCAGCGCGTCCGGTCGCGGCTACAAATCGCATAAAGCATACATCTCCTTGTTCGTGTGCATGACGACCAAGGCGGGTCACTTAGACCTAGTCTCCGATTACTCCTCCGATGCGTTCGTTGCTGCGTATCACCGGTTCGTCGCTCGCCGCGGTATACCCTCCGCGTTTTACTCCGATAACGGCACCAATTTTTGAGACTCTGAAAAGGAAATCGCCGCTTCCGTTAACGCAGCGACTAACAACGGCGCTTTTCGAAACGAGCTTTCCGGAGAAGGCACCGCTTGAGACTTCATACCTCCCGCTGCTCCCCATTTCGGAGGACTCTGGAAAGCCGCGGTCCGAAGTGTGAAACATCATTTAAAGCAAACGATCGGTCTACACACCCTCACTTTTGAGGAGCTCACGACGTTGTTGTATCGTATCGAATCATATCTCAATTCGAGACCAATTGCCGCGGTTTCCGATCACATCGACGACTATAGTGCCTTGACCCCGGGCATTTCTTAATCGGTGATTCTCTCCGAGCTTTACCGCAAGCTAGCCTTTTTTTTGTGACGCTGGGGAAACCGTCATGGTACCGCGCACCTCCGGGTAGAGGTACGGGTTATGTGGGACTCCTTGTTCCCCTTTATCGAGCCACGAATGGTTCGACCAGGAGGCCCAAGACTTACCGCACTAAAATCCCAGCGAGTGTCCTACTCGTGGCGTTGGATGGGGGGTGCCGAGGATGCTGGGAATCCCTTGCCGTCTTGGAAACCACCCCCCCTCCCAATTGTTCCGGGGAGCCGCCTCGACCTTGCGGCCGAGACACCTCCCCGACCGCACAGTCAATGACTGTGCGATTCCGAGGCGGTTGCGGCACGGGGCGACACCGACCCCATGCCGCGCTCTCCCAAAAAGTTTGAGGGGCGGAGCCATGGCTCGAGAATTCCCGCTCGATCCATCGCTCCTCGCCCCCTCAGCGGATGCAGCCCCCGGATCCCCTAGAGAGTGATCCAGTTCGGCTTTCCGCAGGGGGAGCCCTCATCAGGGGGTTCCTCTCAAAAGGAGAGAAACCCCCTTTCGTGGACGGTGTTGCTCTCCCACCGGTGCCTTATGGCTCCCGGTGAGAGGGCCCCACACGTCACGTCTCCGTCCTTGAGGAGGGCCCAGGCGCCCCAGGCGGGAGGGCGATGCCCGCCCGTCAGAGACACGTGGCCCCCCCTCGGCCCCCCGGTTGCGGCTTCCTCCGCTCCCTTGGGAGTTGGGATTCGGCCGCACCCGGAAGGTCTCCCTCAGGGAGGACGAGCGCCCACCCCGCGCCTAAGCGCGGGGAGCGCGATCGCCTCCACCCTTCGAGAAGCTGCCGGGGAGAAGAGTGCGGGCTTACGCCCTCACCCCCCCCCCCCCGACACCCTCATCCGGCGTCTATAGTCGACGCCGGTATGTTGTGGGGCCCCCCTCCCCCGATCCCCGCCATCGCGAACAGCCGCGCCCATGGGCGCAACTGCCGACGACGGGGAAAGGGGAGGCACGCCCCCCCCCTTCGACCTCGCCGGAGGTGCCGTTAGGCACCCCGGACCTCCGAGTCGGTGCCTGGCCGGCCGTCGGAAGTCTACACAAAGTGGACATCTTAGGCCGGACAGGCACCCTATCGCCTTGTGGCCAGGGAAGCCGCAGCGGTAGCAGCGGCTGCCCCTGTCAACCGCCGAGGTGCACCGGCGCCATGTATGACCAGCATACAGGCACCGGTAGCACCTCGCCTCCTTCATCACGCTGGCAACAGTCGCCCTGTTGCCAACACCGCAAGCTAGCCTGCTCGACGTTAATGAGCAACGGTTGTCTCGCTGGCAGTTGGTTCAACGATTGAGCGAACGCATTTGGAAGGCGTGGAACACGGACTACCTCCATACGTTACAACAACGTCCAAAATGGCGAGCAATCTAGAACCTCGCCAAAATCGGCATAATTGTATTACTACGAGATTCGTGCCTCCCCCCGAGCCGATGGAAGCTAGGTCGAATAGTGGAGTGCTATCCTGGAGCCGACGGCCTTGTACGCGTCGTCAAAATTAAGACTGCCGACTCCGAATATCAACGACCGATTACAAAAATCAGCTTCCTGCCGGTCGATATTAATTTCGAGCACGAACAAACCTCTGTTACGGCGGGAGGAATCGCATCCGATCAATCGGCGTAAACTAACAGCTCTTCGACGCGCCCTTTCTGTACGGGCGTGACACACGTTGTAAACCCTTCTAGTGTTAAGAATCTCTGTAACTTAAGCGTCTTCAATCATGTAATCAAATGTAATCAACATTCGAGGCGGGCGGTATGTTGTGTTGAGGCCTTCGAGAATCGAGAATAATATTTACAAAGTCAAGAAAATATTTACGAAGTAAGTCGAGCAGATCGACGTATCACGCGGTTGACTCATGAATTACATGAGTTCATCACGAGCTTCGTCCCTTCCTTCCTAATTTGCCAAGCAGAGCCCGCTTGGATTTTCGATCAGAATTCGCCGAGCTCCGAAATAGTACGGACATACAATTTTCGCCGTCTCTTGGTCCTTACAATTTATCGCTCGCCTCGTTTTTGTGACCACTTATTTACTCTTGTTAATAAAGTGAGTGCTAAATACGATCTCGAGTACTTTTTTTCGTGCTGTGAGCTTTCTGATAAGGCTGCTCCAGCCTCCGCTCGAGTGAGAGCGCAATTCACGCAGAATCGCGGAACTCGAGTCTCAACAGCCTCTGTTTCTAAATTTACATCTTCCTTGTTGGTCTTTATTATTTCTAAATTGTCAGAATAATTTTGTTCTAAATATTTTGTAATTTCTTCAAAGGCTGTCGCAATGAGATTATCAGAGTCGTCATCCATTTCAGTTAAATAAGTAAATTCTTCTTGTAATGAAATACTGTTATTTTCCGTTTTATCACAACTTTCTATGTACCATTCGTTAATGAAAACGTTTCTTGACAAGTTACATTTCCTCTGTCGCTTCCATAAATATATCCACTAGATAAAATGTGCCGCAACGTTAACCGTACCATTCTGGCAGTTGGATTACGGTTGAATCCTCCGCGTCCTCTAATTTTTCCAAATGTATGTTCTACAGAATCTTGGTTGCATAGTGCAGTGGCAAGCTTGAAATCCGGATAGTGTTGTTTAATGGAATGATATATTGATAAAATTGCTTCCACAGTCGTAATCATTCCATCAAAGCACGGAGATCTCGACATCTTATTGGGGGAAGTACTCCACTTCGAACACCATTCAATGAAAGACGTAATAATTCTTCAACCATTGAATTATCATCTTATAACGGACTTTACTCCTATCCAATTATTATATTTAAATGATATACGTTCATAGCATCTATTACTTTATTCATTTTGTAAACAAATTCTGCAGATGCTTTCCATGAAGAACTTTTTAACGTATTGCTTTGGCCTGCTGTTGATATTGCTGCAGCAAATCTTGCACTTAACATTTGAAATGCTCTTTTCACATTTATGACTTCAAAATTGTTTGGGTAAAAGTGCGCGTAGGTAATGTGATTTAATAAATTTGAAGTATTTAATTTTCTGTCAATTTGCCATGTTGCAAATAAGTCATGAAAAGACATAATAATTTCGCCATTCACATAAATATACTTATGAGATCTTAACTAGCTAATCAACCGCTTGATAAGATGAAGCCAATCAAAAGAACCAAAATAAATATAATTGTTTAATGAAAAAGACGGTTTATGTGGAGAAATTTGCCAAATATTAAAAGCTTTTCTATTTGCTCCACCTTGGTCACATGTGATTATCTGTACATTTGCTCCTACATCTTTTAATTTCTTTAAACATATCTCAGTGAATTCAATAATCTCCTTATGTGTTGAACTTTTTCCAGTCAAAAAGTATGCTACTATTTGCCGCCAAGGATTTTCCGCATTAATACTATCAAGGCAAAATAGTAGAATATGTCCTGCTGGTTCATCGTGTCGTCCTAGGGGTCCGAGATCTATTAATCCCTCGATGATATCATATTTTCGGCTGAATTCTTCAAATTTTTTTATTGGCATCTCATAAAATTTTAAACAGCCAACTCTTTGAGAAGGTGGTAGTTTGGACAAATTTTCTTGAATTTTATTAAATATTTCTTCGCAAAATCCTGGTCGAATTTCTGTTTCAGATGTCCAATTTCTAACAGAAGATTCCGATGGAAGATTTAGTCCAGCTTTTCTCATCCGTGAATATCCATTTGCTGAATAATAAAACA